GTTAAATCAGCAGAGTTCATATAATTTTTCCCATTACTGTTATTGTTTTTGTTATTATTGTTACAATTATGGAGGCAATTTTTAAATTGAATGTCGAAAGTAATCGGGATTGCTTTGATTTTGCTCTACTTTACTCTGTGATTCGTCCAGAAAACTCGAACCATTCTCTCAACCAATCAGATGCAAAGCTAAAACCAATCACGACCTGGTCACCCGCGTGACCAATCACGACTTGTTAACCCGCGTTTTCCTACGCTTTAGGCATCTTAGTCAGTTTCACTTTGAGTTCTCATTGGCTCTTAAAGTATTTCCCTTTCTTCTGATTGGCTCTTAAAGTATTTCCCTTTCTTCTGATTGGTCATTGTGATTACTTGGTTTTGGTTTCACGACACATCTATCATCATTAATCGTTCATTACTATTATTATTATCAGTATCATCGTTATTATCAATTTCATACCGTTAAGTTATGAGCTTATAAGATATGTCGATATTTGAGGGCAATTTGCGATATAGGAAATAACAGTTTGTGAAACATCGCAGCCACTGAAAAGAAGTAATTTGCGATCAAGGAAAATTTGGAAAAAAGTGAGATCTTTCATACCGAAACGTAGATTACAGTTGATATTGCGATCTTAGAACAGCTTTGTTCATGTATGTATATTTGTCAAGTATGAATTTTTCTTTTGAAGAGTTTTTCTCTCTTTCTTTTTCTTTTTTCTTTGTAATTTCGTAGTCCAATGACCAGAAAAAAGTTTGATTTATCAAAGTACATCGGAGGAATCAAGAGGAACTCGACTGGACACGTGGTTGCTGCAGAAGCTACTACTCTTTTGTTTGGAATCAAATTCAATCCAAAACTGAATGCAAAGGAAGGACGTTTGGTGGGTTACATTACACTTCTTTGTTATGAGTGGTGAGAGATAAAGACGTATACTTAGGTCATTACAAAATGCACAACCATTATTACGGTAGTCTCGTCTGTGCAGGACTCAAAAAAAAAAAATTGGGCAAATTGACAAACATTATAGTTAATCTGAATCTTATCAAAGAGTTTTGCATAAACAATACCTTGCACTAATTGATAAACCATTTTCACAAACATGACATCGGTGTAACTGGTGTAAATGAAAGTAGGTTCACGTTATCAGTCAAACTACTCGCACCAATGTAACTATATTTTCTATTAAGGAACAGAAAAAGCTGTGATAAAATGGAAATATTTCTTAACAGGAGGATAAGGTGGTCGAGAAATGGGAAACAGAATTCAATAAACTGATGGACACTACTAAAACAACTAATGCGAAGCTTTACTACATGACAAAAGTTAGGTATGAATTTTTCAAATTTGTTGCCACAAATCCATGTTATATTTTTAAGAGGTTTGTAACGTGACCTAGGGAAGAGTATTGGGAAATCCCCGTCACTGTCTGGCCTGATAACACTGACGCTGTTACCAACATTCTTGACAACAGCAAGCGAGTTATCTGTTACATAGCGAAAAAGTTATCGATTATTCACCTTAGTAGAGGTAAATATTCACCACTTTCATTGGCACCGATGTCAATATTGTTTTGGATTATATTAATCAATAACCTCACAATTACATTCTTCCTTTCAATACACCAAAATATAGTTAAATTTTCACTCGTGACGGGCGATTATGATGTCTTTTCGGTCGCTCGAAAGTGATTACCGCTGGCTGATCACTTTCGAGCTAACCAATCAGCACGCGTGAAAAGCTCTATTCACCTGTGTGGTATTTTCTAATAGGATGGATATGAAGCTTTAATAACACTCTGTAGGATTCTTCTCTTCTCGTGCCTTGTAGATATGAAGGAGATGTAGACGAAAGTATTCAAGACGACATCATTCTGCTTTCTTGTGGATACATCCTTGTTACTTTCTATGCTTCTATAATGCTGGGAAATTTCAGTCGCATGAATACCAAGGTAAGTGTTTCATCCTCTGATTTCTGTCACTCGTTTTAGGCACACTTTAGGTTAGTTACCTATCCGTTTAGATCCTCTGGTTGGAGTAACCGAGATGACGATAAGGATACTTTAACATCAGTATGCATATTCTTCATGCTGACAAAAATAATTCCACAATCAAGAGCTTTTTGAGCTGGTAATCATTTCCTCAAGTCTCACGATGTTAATGCGTGATTCAAGGGTGACGTTGTAAGGAAATTAGTGTCAAAGGGTTCAAGGTTTCTATATAACGGAGCAGTGTAAAAGACAGTAAATTGGATCAGAAAAATTATTTGCCGCCGTGTGAAAAGGAGGAAACATTAGGAGCAAAACTTTTTAGGGCCCTTAACTAGGTTTTTAGTTCCAAAGAAAGCTAACATCCTCTTAATTAGGACTCTAATACGATGACATCTCTAAAACAGTCTTTAATTCATTTCCTTATTACCTGCATACAGGTTTGGCTGGCGTTATTTGGGGTTCTTTGCGTTGGCTTATCTATCGGTGTGTCATTTGGAATAGCAAGTGCATTTGGGGTTTTTTACGGTCCGATTCATTCTGCATTACCTTTCCTTTTACTTGGTAAGTGTACCTAAATGTGAATGAAGGCATGTGGATCTGACAACTATCAATTTTTGAAGCGAGTTCAACACCGGTGGTTGGTTTGGAAAAGATATGGGTGAAAAACCACAAAAATCACAATGTGCATGAATTTCTTTTCGTTTCTCAAGTGTTAAATTAATATAAATTATGTTGGTGAAGTATTATAAAGGAATTTATCATAACGATATCTGTACGTTTTCAAGCAGAAAACCGAGGAACAAAAAATATCAACTTAACGTGTGAGCTGAAATGATGGGAAATGAACGGGAGACATTAAATGCAATTGATTTTCAAACATTGAGAGTGAAAAGGTTAGAATGTTTGTTCGTAGGTATTGGAGTGGATGACATGTTTGTGATCGTTCAAGCTTGGAGCAATTTGGCACCAGAAATATGTCAGACCCAACCAATACAAGAACGACTTGGACTTACTCTGAAACATGCTGTAAGTTGTAAGAGGTGTTCATCCTACAACAATTGTTTTAAATAATAGTGTGCACCTGCTATTGGTTAATGGTGTAATGACCAGAGTGGAATGATGGGAGAAAAGAAAAGTTTTTACATTGCGAGTTGCGGAAGTGTGATTAACAAACTTAGCGCACTCTTATTTCAAACAATCAGGGCGCGGGAATAAAAAAAAGATGTTAAAAAAATGAAATCAAAAAGATAAAAACTGAGCATTACATAGAGTTAGAAAGCAGTTCCTAATTCAATCAGTGTCGAGTTGCGCATGATCGCATCAATTCAGCCATACTATGTCGCTGTCTTGTTTCAGGGATGCTCAATCACCATCACAACTTTGACGGATTTTCTTATATTTCTCATAGGATCAACTACGGTTTGTACGAATATTTTTTCCATTGTAATTGTAGTTTTAATTAGTCCGGTTTTCCTTGGTCTTCCTTACAGCCGCTCTATGGGATATAATTCAACGCTCCTCCAGGAGGGGTGGGGAAAGGGGGATGGGTGGGGGGGGGGGGGGGGGGGGGGGGGGGGGGGGGGGGGGGGGGGGGGAGAGCGTTGCATGGCATTCCAAAAATGGCTGCAAAAGAAATAAGTTTTTACATGCAGGGAGAAAAAAGACTCATTATTGACTTTACTAAGAGTCCTTCAGATGCTCTAAATTACAATTCCACTAGCTAATGAATAAGCAGGATAAAATTTATACTTTAAAAGAGATTGAACGAACTTGTACTGCTGCTTTTCGTAATCCATTGCATTTTTAACTTCTGCAATGTTCACAACTTTTTCTTCTAATCTTTTAAACCTCTATGTTTGAAAGTTGCACATGACCGTGGTTTTTTTATATTTTATTGCAGGTATTACCAGCACTGAGAGCATTCTGTATTTATGCGGCAATAGGTAAGTTATTTTACCCATACACAGGGAAGTGGGAATGGAATCGTTCAGGTAAGCAAGTCAGATCCTACATTAACGCCTTACATACCTTAGAGAACATGCACGTCTAGGTGATTATCACACTCTTATTAACTTTCCATACCTGAAAGCAGGTCAAATGGCTACCTGGAACTATTAACGTTTTCACCTTTCAATTTTTAAAGAACCTTTAGCCCCTCATAAAAAGAGCAAGGTGAGGTGAACCCTAACATTCTAGAGATATTGTGCGCAATATAGCATGAAAGTATTAACCCATAGCGTTTTAACTTTGGTTTGTATTACATTAGGTGTTTTGGCAGACTTCATCCTTCAAGTTACTTTATTCACAGCGTTATTGGCGATCGACGCGCGAAGGTAACATTCTAGTCGTGATTGTTACCACTCGCGTTAAGTTGCTGAAATCAGATTTGCTGAAGTTAAAACAAGCCCTGTAAATTTAGTATTTTACTTTTACCTTTCAAAGATCTGCACATTCGTCTTCCGAACAGCTGGATGAGCTTCTTCACTTTTTTCGAATTGCAAATTATTACTGTATCACTTACAAGGTGCTTTTCCCAGGATAGTATCTTTTGAGCTGATCATCCTTACGTGATCTTTAAGGAACAAACAACATTCATGTCATATAAAAGGGGCAATAATGCATGTTATTTGGTCAATAATTTTAATCAATCATACGAAAAACGTAAAATTAATCATGCTTTCATCTTTACCTTTTCCGCTTTTCGAAGATTTGCTACTCTTTTTTTTTGGTGTGAATCATCTTTGGCCTCTTGGGCCATCGTCCTCTTCTCTTCTTTGATTTTGTCGAAATACAATCTTAATACCTCCCTTTGGCTCATTCATGTTCTCCAGAACTGACTGAAAACCATTTTTGTTTTCTTGTTGATGCAGGCAAAAGAAAAAAAGGGATGGCCTTTGCTGCTGTTGCATAACGCTACCAGCTAACTATCGAGAGAGCTCCCTTGCAAAAAAAGACTTTCTCAAAACGAGCATGGACAAGATTGGAGCAGCCATGCTGTCTCTTCCCGGGAAGGTTTTTGTCATCGTCATAACAGGAGCCCTGTTTGGTTTTAACCTCTATGGAGCAATAATGCTAAAGCTGTCCTTCGATCAAAACCGGTTTTTGCCTCCTGACTCGATGTCCTACAAGTATAAGTTTACCAACAGCAAGGTAACCTCGCAGTCTTAGATAAAACTGTCCACACATTTTCTGTCTTTACATTTCTCATTTCTCTCCCCTGTGTCACGTTATTTAGGAAACCTCAGCTCTCCCGTCTTAAAATAAGTGTTTCTTAGCTTATAATGTGTGTTCTCTCATTTCAACATCTGATGAGGGGAACAGGAGAGTTGGGGAAGGAGGTAGGCATGTTTAAGATATTTAGAAAGTGTAAGCTACGTTAAGCTCGAAGGTAATCTTTGTCTTACCAGTGTTATTTTCTTTCCTTTCTTCACTTCCTACCTATTTCCTTCCTTTCATAAACTTTAGGATATAGATGTTGGTCTCGAAGTTGGTCTTTACTTGTACTGGAATGTTATCAAGCAATACTTTCCGAAAGATAATCGTTTCCAGTTGGAGTAATCGCAAAATTATTTGTTCTTACATTGCAGTATTTTCCAGTAAACGGGGCCTCAGTGAACATATATACAGGTACGCTTAGCAAGGGGTTTTTAAAAATTCACTTCTATCTTCACTGAGAAAATTCTAAGAATTTCAAGTGTTTCTTATGATAATCTACTACATTTGTATTAATCTTAGTTCAAGTATTTCATAATGGCCCACTTAGTTTAAACTTTGTCTCAAGCGTGAAAAAACTGGATCAACTTGGTGACTCAAAAACATCAAGTTGAGGATTACTTTGTCCTACTTTGCGTTTCACTTCTTTCCAAAAGCTGTTCTCGCCAGCAGAGGTTTAAAAGTTGCACAATTCGACTTCAAAAACAGCTGTTAAAAAAAAGGTTTCTCATTTCATAATTTTTCCCATGGATTTGACTGCCAACTAAAATTTCATGAATAGGACTAGTGCAGAAGCGCGTTATGCGGATCTCTTAACTTTTCTTTCCTCAGGAAAGTTCGATTACTTTAAAGAACAAGATAAACTTCACAGGGTCTACGACATTGCAGTCAGTGACAAAAAATATATAGTTTCTAGTTCCATAAACAGTTGGTATGAAGACTTTGTTAGCTGGGCTATTGACAAGAAACCAGGAAAGTGTATCCAGAAAAGTAAGCATATGACATATTGAAAGCTAGACAATGATTCAAGTAATCAGAGGACATGAAACTTTCCAAACAATACGCATCATGCGCGTTCTTGTTACGCATTTCGCCGAGTTAACTGTTGTTTTTTAAGAAAAACGCATAACTGATGGCTTGTTTGTTTATCAAATTATGCTATAGTTTTGATTAATTTGTGACAGTAATGTGTTTTAAAAACAGAACAAATGCTATTCGTCAACATTCTTGTTGACTTATGAGTTTCGTAAAAGCGTAAAAGAAGTCTTGTGTGAAATCTAAGCGCTAGTTGTCACCGAGCGTTTCATTTAAGGATACACCGAGCAAAATAGGAAAATGACTTTAAATAAGTATTAGCTTCTAATGGTCGCATCCTATCTCAGCTCCAAAA